ACACACACACAGGGCACACACACACAGGGCACACACACACAGGGCACACACTCAGAGTAAACAGAGTACACACAGGCCACACACACAGAGTACAAAGAGTACTCACAGGGTATACACAGGCCACACACACAGAGTACACATAGGGCGCACACACACTCAGTGTACACACAGAATACACACAGGGCACATATACAGAGGGCCATCAGTCACGTAAGTAGTTAAAGAACAGAAAAGCTCTGATCACATGACCTGTGTCGAGTCTGGGGCTCCACAGACGTGACGCGTCTCTGCCTCACCTGGCGCGGACTGTGGCCTTCTCACACGTGTTCAGATCGCGGATGTACCGCGGAGGATCGATCAGCAGCTCGAACTTAGGCGTGACTGGGGACGAAGAAGGCAATGAAAGTGCGACAGTCAGAGAGAGATTCGAAAGCCCATGTGTGTCGAAAATAATGGGACAACTTGGAAATTGCAGAAAAAAAAGAGAAACAATTACTTGAGTGCTTTACAATGAAAAGAAATAATAGATGGACACTTCTCTATATATATTTAGATCAAAGTATAAGATAGTCACAAATTAAATTTATTTACAATGAACGAATAAGAGTACAGATACACATTACACTTCCATAGGTTAGAAAAAACAGTTTTCTTGCAAACCAGATCATCCTACAGTTAACTACATGAGAACTATATCTATTTTATTTATAACCTATCTGCATCTATTTACTAACAACTTATGCAAGGATTTTTTTCCCCCAAAAAAAACAGGCTTTCAGTTTCAGTCTTAGTCCTCCCAGGTTGGTCCCCACATCTGCCAGAACAGGCTGGAGGAGGGGGCTCGGCTCACGCGATCTCTGCCTCCGGCACTCACTGTATTTCTGCACCTCGAAGGATTTGTTGTAGGTGTGGCCCTGCATGTCCACGAAGATAAACCACTCGCCAAACACGGGCTGGTCCGACAGGGGGAAACTCACGTTCACTATGCCTAAAAACACAAACAACCGCCCACAAGAAACTGAGGAGAGGCCACAATTAACATTTATAATTCTTAGTTTTGAACATTTGAATCCTGAATCGTTTAAATGATGCAAAGAGGACAGATTAGATTATTAAGAGGCAACTGAATATTTCCTGTCTGGTCCTGTTTGAATTGAAGTTCTACACAGATCTAGTGTATAAGTGTATTAGTTGACAGGACAGAGGCAACGAGACTTGCTTCCACACAGTGCTTACCACAGCAAACTGGCTTCAGATCTGTCCACTGAATCATCCTTGAACCCCTGGGATCCTGTGACCAATTACAGACAGAATATAAATCTTTTACATGTAACAGTGCCCATAACATGTGTCTGGGGTCTATTTTCACCTTGTGTGGAGTTTCATTTGGGTGGGGGTGGAGAACAGCAAATGGAAATGGTCTGAGAGTCTAAGTGATGCGAGACTGAAGACAGGAACAGACACGTGTGTGAGTGTGGGTGCACGCATGTTTGAGCGTGCTTGTGTGTTTGTGCGTGTGCACAAGCATGATTGTGTGCATGCATGTGAGTGTGCTTGTGTGTGTGTGCATGTGTGTGAGTGTGCTTGCGTGTGTGAATGTGCACCCACAAAAGAAGACCAATAACAGTCGTAAACAGAAACAACCCAGAAAAAAAAGAAGGAGGAATGAGGAAAATTAGGCAGAAATACAAACTGTGCAGACTCCCTGGGTCTGTTTACGATCAGCCCCCTCACACTATGCCCAGTCACCTTGCCAATTTAGCTCAATTACAAACTGTCTGTCCTCGCTGTGGGTGGGCACAAGAGAGCCGCGAAACGAGAGGGGGCCGTGCTGCCCACTGGGCCAACTGCCCAACAGCACCTCTACTCACCACGACGTAGGCATCGACCTGCAAAGAGAAGAGGCGACACAGGACGGGCTCACATTAGAGAGGCAGCGTGGGCCAGTGGCCTTCCCCCCCCCCCCACCTGCCCTCACAATCGGCGGTCTGTGTGCGAGAGCGCGGCCCGGTGCCAGCGGCGAGCTTTGACAACGCCGCCGTCAATACGCGCCCTGTTCCCAGCCTCCACACACACAGCACACGGAGAACCAGGCGGATCGTTGATCCTGCGCATTTCAGGCTGGGTTTGCTCGGCAGATACACTCATTCAGTGCCCACTGCAGCTCTTGCATGCTGTCCCAGCTGCGGGCGGCTGCCAGGGGCCAGGATTCACTGCAGACCACAAGCAAGTCGAGAGGGATCTGGACGCAGGTGGGTGTGCTGTGATCGAGCTGCCCTAGCTGACAGACTAGACTCGCTTTGCTCAGGGTCATGCAAGTGAAAGCATGGTGTCTTCCTGCTGAAATTTACTTCCCCCTCCAGCTTTCTAGATACCAACAAGCCCCTGTCCCTGACACCTGACAGACTGGGCATGAAGGGGTGTAAAAAACACCTGGTTCTAAGAAGCAGACATCCACATCCTATAAAAATGTCTGAAACAAACAAAATCCACATCCACTTCCTGGCTTGGCTGTTTCTGCCTTCCCGATCTGTTTTCATCTGCAGGATCGTGCGCAAAACCCCGCGTTGCCCCGAGATAAAGGTTTCGTTACCTTGTCCCTGGCTGGCCGCAGGTCAGGGGTGACGGAGAAGATGTTCACGAGCACTAGAGGAGGACAGAGCACAGAAAAAGGCTTTAGGAGACGCACACGGCATGGATAACTGTGCAAAAGGTCCTGCTCCACACCCTGGGGTGTTCCCGGAAAGAGACAGCAAATGTTCTGCAGTGGAATCCCAGCATAAGGAGTGCTGGACTGCTCTTCGTGGAGTATTTAAGGTGAGTTTTCTTCTCCTGTGATCCCTATCCGTAAATTCTCATCTTATCTCTCATCTGAAAGCACTTTCAGGCCTTCGGAGCAGAGTTAAACTGGTCCCTCTGAGCCTTAAAGAGGAGCTGCCACGCCATTTTTATATTTCAGGGTTCGAAAGAATCACCATTGATGAGTGCACTTCAAACCACAGCAAAATGTACACAGTAACATGTAAAATCTCCAATTGACATCGCAAAATAGACTAACTCTCCAGGTGAGCCCTGGACTATGTTCAGAACGAGGCAACAAAACGTCCGGTGAGGTGACGTAGCCCTGTTAAAATTGTCAACCAGCAGGCTTGTGAATAAATCTTTTTTTAATCTAATACAAATATTGCTCTGGGCTTCGAGATGGTTTTGCAGACAAATACTTCTTACTTGTAAACTCTGCCTGTAGATCACGTTGAGCCATTTCTGCGGTGCAATGCCGGCTGCACAACCTGTACCTACGCGCTCATGTATGGTGTTACATCAGCCATCACAGGAAGGGCTGCTTCACATCACAATTCGTGGGAGCTCTCACTCTCACCCATGGTGACGCCAGGGGTTTGCGACACCGTGGCGACTTAAAGTACTTTCCCAAAATTCCCGATGCTGTGCTTCATTTGAAATCTGTACAATTTTTCGATAGCGTCAATGAATTCATTTTGTTGCCGAGATAGAGTCACCGGTCGGAGAAACTGGGACTGCAGCTCCTCTTTAACCTCACAGGTTTGACTCTTCCTCGCTCTGCAGACGCTGACACTTACGGAGGACTCCAAACCCTG